CTCCGCGCTCAAACTTGAGCTTCAGACATCCACTTCTCTGAACCAGCTCCTTGACAGATATTGAACCAGTGAACAGCTTTCACAGAAAAGTTAGCGTTCCATTTAGTGAGATGGTAATCAAAGCTTCGAAAATATTAGCTAATTTGTAGGGTGAGTATGTGAATGACTGAAGGACAAGGGAACTGGGAACCTCGCATCTAATTTCTGAGGCATCGATAATCGTTCTGGTAGTGGAATAGAGCTCCTTAAACACAGCCGGCATGGCATCGTCGACTGCTTTTCTAGACATCCAGAGGCTGAACTGCCCTATCTGTAAGTGCATGAAGCTTCTCCATGTGGTGCACAATCTAGACTGTTGCAAAGTAAATTCTAAACCTGAAGTCAAGATCTTTTTCAAACAAACCCAGGCGGTGCCTTAGAAGACAACGAACAGCTGTTCCTTGGCAGGCAACAGTTGGGGCCTCCCTGCATTGCTTCAAACTTCGGTGGAGCTCCATGGCCACACCTTAACATTTTCACAATTTTCACCGAGATCAAGGAAGCGATTAAGACTCGTAAAGGCCTCGTAGTTAGAAGGGCCAGTCTAAAAATTAATTCCATCTGGGCTGTCTTTAAAACACTCGACAGAAAATTGTCTGCTTTGCTGTTCTTCAAATTGCGCGTTCTTTTCTACAGCTATCTCAAGCTCTCGTTGCGCTCTGTACAAAGAAGAATTTGCCGGCTTCAGTTCCTCAGTCACACATTTAAAATTCATCTCGGGTGCTTAAGAGCGTTCCGCTAGCGCTGCAAGTTGTTGTGCCTGCTCCTACACTTCGCGTGAACACGCTCAATCACAGGCTACGTCGTCATCGATGCGGCCGGTCTCGCTGGGCGAGGCGGGGTCGTATTCAAACGCCCGGCTCGGTCACCACCTTTTCAGCACCACACATCGTAGCTTCCGTCGCAACTGAGATGGCAGCAATTGCTTTTCTGATAAAATTACTTTTTCTGATAATGAGTAATGTAATGAATTACTTCTCTAGGCTGGTAATTTAGTAATGTAATGAATGACCTTCAGGCAGTAATTTCGACAAATATTAGGGGTCACTTTTGAAACTACTTTTGTTCCAAATGAGAAAGTTCGTTTACAAGCTTTAAAGAAAAGAGAATTTGCATGGTGAAATGTTGTGAAAGAGACATCAGCGAAAAAAGGCTCCAGGTAGTTTAAGCACTTCTTATGAGTTGTGAATGCGAAAGCATGCAAGCCACTCGTCCGCTCCCTTGTTTCGCCTGCTGCGAAATAGGGGAGCGGCAGCTCCCCTGTTTCGCAGGGGAGCTGCCTACCTCGTAGGTTGCCTACCTACGAGGTAGGCAACACTGGTTCGTCGGCAACCGGGACCACAAACGTTGTCGCCACCCTGAACAGCGGAGCGGCGGAAACATGTAGGCAGCCTAGGGCAAACTAGGTGCCGTTGCCCAGGCTTTTCGCGTAGTTTCATAGCCGGGAGATGGCTTCACTTCGAGAAAGGACTTAAGGTGCCGTTTCTCGCGCTTTAAACTGATCAGATCGCCTCGCACCATGACAGGCATGTAGCCAGGGCGAGGCCCATGGGGCCCTTCCCCCCCCCTTCCCCCAAAATCTTCCATTTTGCCGGGACCTCCCCTCCCCCTCCCCCTCATACAGCATTTTCTCATGGGCGCCCCCCCCCCCTTTCCTAAACAAAATCCTAGCTATGTGCCTGCTCCATGGGATAGTTAATGCTTTAGCATTGATAAACGACGGCCACGCTGAGTGCAAAGCCTTTTACGAAGAACTAACCAGACGCATAAAGGTGGGCTGAAAACGCGAAGGAAAGAAGCTTACGTGTAGAAATCGTTGGAAGGCCACGGCTTACGAACTCCAGGCAAGACAGATCCACGGCGTAACGTTATCATGACGATACTGTACTTGGTTCATCCATAAGCTGGCAGTGCGGTGGGAGCTCCAAGCTAACCAGGTGCAATCGAACAACTCTCTTTAATCACCTGACCCGTCCCTTTCTCTGCGCATGGGTGTGAACGAAAGCGTGGTTACGGGGCGAAAAATAAACGTGTGACTGTCCAGCGAGCACGTAACTTCCATCGCACTGTCAGCTGAGGGATGAACGGCTTTTAGACTACAAGGCAAGGGCACACCACCAGCGAGGTCAACAGATTTTAAAACTTGGGAGCACAGGACAAGCGGATCTTCAGCCTCCTTGTTCTTTCGTCAAACTAGGTCAAACCGTAAGCTTCGACCATCGTGAACAACGAACGACCGGAATAAATAGTTAACCCTGAATGGCTTGTCAAGGCTCCAGAACGTTTCGCTTGTCCTCGAGCAAAGCAGGCGCCGCTCGCGGTATGCCCCCTGTCTTTCCTTGGGAAGTTTATTAGGGAATTAGCCTAGAAGCTAACATCGCCACCGGGTTGTTGGGAAAGTACACGATTTAGGAAGCTCGCGCCATTCCTTTTCTCGACTGGCGACGGTTGTGCTTAGCAATTATCCAGCCCCTTTGTGTGACAATTCGCAAAAACTTGGGCTCTTCGGGTGTTTGGGGAACAATACTCCTTGAGAGGAGTGGTCGGGAATACGCCAACTAGGTGCGCCTGGCACAATAGGATTATACTGCGTTCGAGGCGGAAGGGAAACGTTTCACGTGGCGACTCCTTGCAAGAACAAGTTCACATGGCCCGACTTAACAAACTGACACGTTATAGCTTCGTCTATATCAGAAAGACAGAAACATATCACCATTTCAGTATCGATTTTCACCGTTGAATGAACAGCGAAACCGGTGAGTCGACCGTCTTTGAGTGTCACCTAAGAAAGCTTTCGTCATATTTAACACTTATGTCATGTGTGCCAGCAAGACGACTGTCCAGTATGGTTCACTTTGAGGCGCATAAGGCTGTTGCGGTGCAAACAGGAAGGTCTGAGTTTTGGCAGATATACGCTAAATAAAGTGAGCGCGATTTACTGTCTCAAGGTATTCAAAAGTAATGTCAAAGCCATTTGATTACTTTTGGAAAGTAATTGTAATGTAATATCATTACTGTTAGACTGCGGTAATTTGTAATGTACTTTAATTGCGTTTTTGAGTTCCAAAGAAAGTAATTAGCAATGTAATTTAATTACTTTTTAAAAGTAATTTCGCCATCTCTGCGTCGCGACGACAGTGGGACCAGCAGCGGATGCCAACCCTTGCGTTGCGGGCCCAGACGTGCTGCTCCCGACGGGGTCAGACCTCTGTACGAAGCGTTGTTGCCGGTTTCGTGGCCTCCTGGGTGCGGGGTTTAGTTTTGCGAACGTGAACACACTTGGGACTGCCCCCCGTTTCAAATAGCACCGATCCCCATCCATGTTTGGCAAATAGCTGTCAGCGGTGAAGTGCTTGGAGCACACTTTCGTAAATTGTGCCACCGTAAAAAAACTTCTCGTCGTCGCGTTTTATGGCATTAATTCACCTTTTTGCACCAAGATATTTCGGGAAGGCAAAAGACGACACATGTAGCAAGAGCAATCAACACTACGGAGGGTTTAAGCGAAAAAATACGCAATATAGCAACGAATGCGGAAAGGTTTATGAACAAAGTGGCTTGCCTTGCACCTGTTCGCGTCGCAAACGCCTCTCTGATTGCAAAGCGGTATACAGGAATGAACTGGCTTTGTAGTGAAGTTCTACCGTGTCCCAATCGACGCGGTGGTTTAGAACGGGTATGAGAAGCAGAAGCGAAAAATGGTGGAACGAACGCACGCAGGCACCTGCACGAGCGCGTACGGCGGTCGTGTACCAAGCTTATGGCGGCTGCTGGACGCTTCGCGCTCGGCTTGACAAATGGCGCTGAATTTGGTAAAGGGTCTATTATTCAGCCTGGAATGATGCTCTGGAATGACGTTTTGGTATGAGACTTTGCGAAACAGCGGCTGTCTAGACTACCCACTCCGCCACGCTATTCTAGAATAGGACTCAATAAACCGATCTCACCAGCATGTTTGGTTATGCCACCGCTGCCGCCATGCGTCGTGGGAACTGTAATTCCCACGAAGCATGGCGCGACACGCGACACGCGACACGCGCGACACGCGACAAAGGGGAGTCTGTCCGACCAGAGCACGAGACGGCACGGGCTGTCTCGTCTACTGGCGCCTGACTCCTGTGGACACACACACACAGAACAGGACACTCGCTGAGTTCCAGACATTGTTATGGCTCGGCTATTGTCGTTGCAGCGATTGGACACGGGCCACTACCCGAATGCATGTCGAGGCATCGATTTCACGAGCCCAGATCGAATACGTACGCAGTCTTCGCGTCCAGTGTGTGAGCAGTATTTTGAATATCGTCACAGCTGAGATCGCAAAGCTTGATGACGCATTCCCGGGGTTCGTACTGTTGCCATTGTCCCCACAGCTCGGTTATCAAATTTCGTGAAGGAGCAAAAGGCGGTTTTGAAGGAGAGACTACAGCGTGGTTCAGATGCAGCAATTTTGGCCCTAAAGCGGCGCGATTTCTGCCGTCGCTGCGCTCGTGCCGCTCAACCGCTGGTGCTGGCCAGAGCGTCGCGACGGCAGAAATCGCGCCGCTCAAGTGCCAAAACCGCTGCATGTGAACCACGCTTGAAAGAAAAGCTCCGCTTGCATCCTTCGAGTTCCGCCGGGACGAATACGCTTCTTGGTCAGTACGGTTGCGTTAGAGTATTCTTGGGTCCCACTAATGACAGGAAGCTGGTGTAAAGTAAGTCATATTCCTACCCAATGTCGTTGCACAGCCCTTTTAAGTTTTGGAAAGGAGAGATTGAAAGAAAACGCTCGCTTTTGTCCTTGAATTGACACTTAAAAAACAAAAGAAAGAGGAAGTTCCTTGGTCAGTGGCGTTGCGTGCAAGTGTACCTGTGTGCCACTAGTGCAAGTAAGCTCGTGTAAAGTGAAAATAAATATCGTTGCACGGCCCCTTTGATTCGGTAACACTGTCTGAGAAGCGTCTTGGACCTCACCGCAGGTCTGGTGCGCTCGCACGTGGATGTCTTCATCAACGAAAGTAATAACAACTGCGTCTGCGCAAATCTCTACCAGTTCCTGGATATTCAGCTCTATCCCTTGAAGGTGAGTACGAAATCCTGTTTTCTGCTAAAGCAAGTCCCCCCGTAAAGACGAAGAAAAATGTAGAGAAACAGGCCAGTTACCTGAAAACCGGCTAGCTACACTGAAGGACATACAGCACAGAGCCATCACTGACAGAGACGCGATCTTCCCATACCAATATCGCCTCTTAACAGACTTGTTCGCATCGGTACAGGAACTATCCTCCTTCACCACGGAAGGCGTCACAGCGTATCGAATTAGAAAACGACTGCAGGTGCTTCAAGAACTTTGAATCAAGGTAAACGTACTCTGGAACCCAAGACGTAAACCCGCCGGCAAAATGAAGGTGAACAGCTTACTTGGTTTTTTGCCTGTTTCAATGCTTCCTAAAGCTATATGACTCTCAACGTCTCAAAAGGTACGTGGCTTAGGGTCTAAACTTTGCGTTCTAGACCTCTTCTGGAACAGAGCTTCTTCCAAAACTTGCAGGAGCGTCAAAAACAAGAAGAGGGCTGTTCACCTTTATATCGCTTGCGGGTGTACAGTGCATGACGGGGGTAATACTGCGGCGGATTCAGCAGCCGTACAGGCACGCGTGGCGGACCAAACTTACTCCACCCCGCACCCCAACAGTCCAACACTCCAGACACCCTATCACCTGGACCCGAACGAAACGTACCTAAACCAAGACCACTACCAAACAGCGTCTAATGGAGGCTACGCCACAGGCGCCCCTCATCAAAGGACTTTCTAGGCAGCAAGAAGGTTTATAAACCAAGTCATGGCAAACGCAGCCTACACACCGCACATAGTAAGTTGCAGCCGCCACCTGTATCAAGCGCACCACCAAGATCCAGTGTCGCGCAGATCTTTGGCATCTCATAAAGTACTGTCCTGCCTTCGCACATGGCCGAGACCGCATCAACGACCTACACGTAACCTCTACCCCCCTAGCAGCCCTTATCTATTATACAAACAGATGATGGCGCCCAAAGGGCGGCCGCAGATTATGAAAAAATCAGTGGCCTATACCGAGCGGTGTAATGCAAGTAGACTGCCCTAGTACCCTGCTTGACATGTTGAAATTACCGAACCCCCCCCCCCCTCTTTTTTTTCTCCCAATGCGGCCTCGAGCCATCCCTGTCATCAAAAGACTGCAATCCATCATTCAATCAATTAATCAATCAATCAATCAATCAATCAATCAATCAATCTCCAAAGTTCTAGTAATGCATGAAATGCATTATATTGCGTAAAAAAATAATCATTTAAATATGTTCTGAAGGCATTAGACCAGCGGTGGCCAGGCTGTCCCGGCCTAAGAGCCGCAAGCAAAACCACGAAACCTACAAAAGCCGTGGGGGAAGGGAGGGGGGGGGGGGGGGCGTGGCAAACCTTTGTCTAACGAAATAAATGAAACTCGAACGACTTTTAATCTATCTGAGTCAAAACCAGTCCAACTGTACGGTAGCAGTACCACAACACTACCAAACCGCTACCTGTCTTTCGATTTAACACGCGTTCAATATTTCGTTTTGAAAAAGTGCTCTTGTGACTGGAAGGGTGGCGGGGGGGGGGGGGGGGGGGTGAGGGGGGGGGGGGGGAGCGAGGGTTTAGGGGAGGATGACGCGAGCCGCACTTTAACACGCGAAGAGCCGCATGCGGCTCGCGAGCCGCAGCTTGGCCACCCCTGCATTAGACAGTCATTTGGGGGCGTGAAGAGCCAACATTTTGTGTTAATGTTTCCGCAAAATATAATGGGAAATTATATTGGTGCATAGGTAGTGTTGACGACGCGTAACGTGACGTAAATTTTCACTCTAATCTTAGCGGAGAAACGTAATTTGTGTACAGCTCTCGTCACATAAAATTTTCTTCTAAATTTAGCGGGTAAACATTACTGTGTAGGTGACGTGACGCCATCCTCATCTAAACCACAAACTTGTCGCGGCAGGTCTAGTGACTTTACTTCGTTTCAGCTTCAATTCAGACGAAGCCGATGCTACGAGCATTTAATGTGATCAATCAAATAGCGACAAAAGTGCAAATCACTGGGCTTTTTTTTTTGTTTATGATTATTTCCGCGATGATAGAACACGTACGACAACATGACGAGGATCATGATTGTGTATTTTTGACGCTGCCTGGTTGGTCGCATTTGCTCCGTCTGCGTCTGGACTGAAGGTCAAACAAAGTATAGAACTCGAGTTGTCGCGACAGGTTTATTGATCATATATACCAATTTTCACACACGCAAGAAAAAAAAAAACGCACCATTACGGCGGCACGTTTATTCTGCGTGATTGGTTTCAGCCGCTGGTAGCAAACACCCCAAAAACAACGGTCGCCATGACGACGCACGTTTTGTGCTGGTTGATTGGCTGCCTCGGACCGTAGCATCTGCTGCGCTCGAAATGCGTCCCTGGCACATCAGAACCCATCGGGCGTCATCACTGGTTGAGGAAAGGGGTAGACACGTGAGCGGGTTTGGTAGTGGTGGCGTGTTAACGGGGAGAGGGGGGGGGGGGGGGGGGGGATAAACAAACGCTCGAGGTGCAAAATCAGTCAAACTTGCACTCGGTATTTATACCCGGTGTCTCCAATAGCGGCCAGGCGTTTTAAATCGATCGCAAAAATCGGTTTCTTAACCTATCGCGCTACGATTTTGTGCAGCGTTGCCCACAGGCGGTGTATTTTTCTATAAAATTTATAAAACATCGACCTTATGTGAGAAAAAATGTAAAAAAAAGGAAAAGGTTTATCTTCTATGAAAATGCAGCGAAGCCACCGGTCTTCAAACCATAGGGCGGACTATTGTTTGAAGATCGGTGGCTTCGCTGCGTTTTCATAGGAGTTAAGACTTTTTCTTTTTTTACTTTTTCCTCGGGTAAGTTCGCTCTTCGGAAATGTTACAGAACAAATGCTCCACCTGCGGGCAACGCTGCAAAAAATCGTAGTGCGATAGGCTAAGAAACCGATTTTTGCGGTCGATTTAAAGGGCCTGGCCACTATTTGAGACACCCGGTAGAACAGAAAGCTGTCGTGGCGGGTCATGAGCTCCGAGATTGCCGACGCGCGTTGTCGATAGGCAAGTTTGTTTGCCCACGGCTGTTGTATGAGCGGGTCGAACCTCCAGGGCGCGCGTGGTCATCTAAACTTGAAGCGGTGAAAGCAGGCTCGAAGCCAACCCCATGCACGGGGCAATGATTAACACTAGACCGCGGTCATTGTTGATACTTCGTGCAAAAGACAGTCTGCGGACACAGTCTGTGGAGTGTTTTTTGTGTGACGGGTACTGTCGGAGTCGTACAAAACCTGTCTGTAAACGTGTTTCATGCATACATATATACGTAAGAAGCAATTATGCTTCGAAGATGCTTGAAGCGTATCCGCAGATACTTCTGTTCTCATGCCTACAGCGAACCCCGTGTCTTTTGTACGATGTGTAGGAGCAGCGTGAACCCCCAAATATCCGGTGCTATACTCTGCTTACTTGTTCTGCGCAGCCTCCGTTCGACCGACCCCGCAATGTTCTCACATCGCTGTGGGGAGCCACCTGCAATCCAATTGACCGCATGGAGGAAAGGACGCTCATGTTCGACGTCTCGGTGGATGAGTGGCTCTTCATGGACAACATGGGCGCCTACAGTCTGATCGGTGTCACGGGTTTCAATGGCTTCGGCTTCCCCTTCGTCAAGTACATCACCACCGCGGACAAGAAGCCGTCCGTTCAACGAATCGTGGATTCGATGGTGATGAGAGGAGGTTACGGTCAGGTCGAGGAAGCGATCATGGCTCGCCATCCAAGCGGGCGCATCACGGTCGCCGACGCAGGTGGCGACAAAACGGCTTAAAAGCGCTAATCACATATCAGCAAAGAACCAATACCACTTAGCAAGGCCTGCTCCTTTCCCCCTCACCCCAATATAGTGGATCTCCCCAGCGTTGCCTATAGATTGCGTCAACATCGCCGTCTCGCCTCTAGCAGAGTCTCACATCGAGCGCAACGCTAGCACGCGCGGCGTAGCCAAGGCGGACGCTTGGGCCGCTTTTGCGGCCGCTCTCGTCGAGCTTCAGCGTGTTTTCCACTTGGGGAGCGTCGGGGGTCCAGTAACGATGACGTCACGCGCAGGCCTGGTCTTCTAGGTGGTGTTGCAAAAGCTCGCCAGAACGCTGACGCAGTGACGTCGCGGCACAGCATTCTGCCACTTCGTGGTGCCAGTGGTGGTTGCCATGGTTACGCCGCTCGGCGACGCAACGGGAGGCGGTTTTTTTACTCACACGTGTTTCGCCCTTTAGGGCGCTGCCGATGCACGATTCAATGGGGCTGTCTTTCTTTTATTGTTGGTGACGGTATGGTACGCACAATTGGCGATACCAGGAGGATGTACGCACAGCGTGGAGGTGAAATGCACATGTAAATCGCAGTGATAAATTAACGATAGGTTGTAATATCTTTTTCTTTTTCGTTTGACATTCTCCTGCTGCATTGTCTTCATGGGCGCTGTATGGAATCTAAAATGAACAAATAAAATAAAAAATAAAGAAATAAAAAGGGACAGCTTTATGCTAGTGCGCATGCGATGAGGCGCTGGATCGTAGCTGTATCACAGACACAGCGGGAAGTCAGAGTTGCATCGGCTCTACGCTGCACCCGAAAGATCAAAATTATTTCCAAATGAAACCTAAACTTGACGTTTATGTTTATACAGTGTAAGGTCGGTCTGCCTTTTGAGGTGCGGCAACACAGGTTTAGTCGGTAGACCAGAAATGTAGCCAGTGCAGTACCACTGCTGGCCTGTGTGGTTTTTAACGTGCATCTACTGACTATAGGGGGCTCGAGGGCACCAATAGCTACTCTACGAGCCTGGCCTGTGCCTCCTATATAAGTTACACTATTGCCGGTCAGCCTATCTCCAAGAGGCGCGGGCCAATCGCGACGCCTATCCGTTGTGACGAATTGGCCCGCGCCGGTCCTCTCGTCTTCTTCGAGGAAGTGGAGGGGCGCCTCACTTGGAGTGAGGTTTATGAATTCGGCGGTTACACTCAGAGATTAGTACTTCAGCTGCATGAGGCAATAGGCTCGTTGATATTCTCCGGCATGAGCGACCCCCCTTCATTGTTCACAATAGTCTCTGCTGCGCTAAACAGACAATCGAAGTGCGTTCAAGCGGCCTGGACACGATTAACCTCCTGTATTCGTCTGAAGGTACAGATTTCTCACCTACAGTTTACTTCAAGCTAAATTGCACCTTAAGTTTGCCCTTCATACAGGTGTACTCGTTCACGTGTGCGTGGCGAAAGCGTAAAATTTTTACTTTCTTTTTGTTTCTCAAAATGTTACCGAATAACCGGTTAGCACTTAATTACTATTAAAGCATTAATCGATTAATTGGTAGGTTAATCGATTAAGTGCCCATTCCTAAATATAACTCGCAACATTAAACGATAAGAAGTAATTTCAGTAAGGAGTGGAGTGACAAATAAAATGATTGGACAATAAAAGATTTTGTTGCTTACATTGCACAAAGGTTGCAGCCAAGAGATAGTTTGTAACAATTTTTTTTACTTTTGTTACAAACTATCTTTGTGCTGCAAGTGGCTGTAGAAACGTTTATTGATAGCCGTGTACGTATACTGTGCACAAAGAAGGTTTCCGATGGGAACAACTAAATATTTTAAAGAAAAAAAAAAACTCATCTTTGTGAAAAATTGCGTTTTGCCGTTTAAAGAGCCGTCAATTCTGCCTTGAGGTGGCCCAAAGAAAAATACAAAACATGGCTACTTTTACAGAAAAGTTTACGATTTTTTTTGCTCTTGAAAGTTTAGTTTAAATAATTTTGTTCTAAAGAGGAAAAAAACGACACATTTTGAAGTCGAGCTCTCGCGCTGCAACTTCGCGTCGTTTCTTGCGCCTCTTCTCTGCACAGCACGCCAACGTCGAGCCCGGCAAAGCGTGAGACGGTGTCACGGTGTGCGCACGCTACATCTTTGTAGAAAGGGGCTTTTTTCCACTCTTGTTGCCTTATGGCTTTTCTTATTTGGACCGTTTTGCGCGGCGATGTCCTCCTGTGGTCTTTCACTGTCTCTAAACCAGCAAATGCTTAGCGCTGCCAGGTCAGGGCAGCCACTAGTAAGCGAACTGTTTCTTACGTACGCATCGCAATCAAACTCTCTCTTGTCAACGTCAGGACAGATGTAAACAGCAACACAATATCTCCGTGAACGGGCAATGTCAAACGGCGAGGTGATGTGGTGCGCGCCGTTGGAGGCTCACGCCTCGTTTGTGTTAAAATCGGCTTTAAATGGTTAATTCTTTCGTCGCTGAGTAGTTCCGCTTTTCACCGCAGTATGCGTAACAGCTAGATTTCGCAGCAGCATTATCGCGTTTCCCTTTTAGGAGAAGTCCACGTCAGCTGATGCTGCTCGCATTAGGCATCGCGTTTCGGAGTGTGAGGAGCCGCCCTCGGGTACAAAGGGCACAACGGGCCTACTATGGCTACGCTCTGGCGGCACCTCCGATTATTACACGATACCCGCCGTTTCCTCCCTTGCAGTCGGAAAGACGGAAAATGGGAAGTGGCAGCAAACTCCCTTCCTTCTTTGGACCTAATCGTGTTAGCTATCGTCACAGGTGGCGTGCTGTGCGGCGAAGAGGCGTTAAGAAGCGACGCCAGGTTGTGGTGCGAGAGTTCAGCTTCAAAAAAATTATTTCTCGCTTTAAACAAAAATTAGTTTGGTTAAACTTTCAGAATCAAAAGACAATCGGTTGTTATTCCAAACCCACCATATTTTGTATTTTTACCTTGACTACATTTTAGCCGTTTATTTGACTGGTCAAATAAACGGCTGTTTATCCGTCAAAACGCACTTTAGCAACTTTAGGATTTTTACTTACTACAGGATATATAATTCAACGGTTTCAAATGTTTTTTTATAGATAATATACCTGCAGGGCAGCCGACACAAAGTTTTATTAAGCCCCGGGAGCAATTAGATATTTTTAATAAAATAACAAAGATGCTAAAATTTCAAAAAAAAATAGTTTAAATTTTTTTTTTCAAAGTAAACAAAACTGCACAAGCCTGACCACATTATAAGTCGAAAGCCGTGCAAATTCAAGAAAAAGTATTGTTGGGCGTTTTATTAAAAAAAATTTTTCATCAATTATTGAGTGATGCCTAGTTTCACGATGTTTCTAAAAGTTAAAACCGCGCTCACGTCATCAAATTTTTTTTCGTCAAAAATATTTCAGGGCATTGCTGCGGACATTGCCGTAAAAGGCCAAGTTCTTTTTTTTTTTTTTTTTTGTTTAGAAATCGAAGATGGTCGAGCGCAACGTCTGGGACGTGTAACATGTAATGACCTTCGACAAGTTGAAGTTGCTCGAGAGCTTGTCAAGTTTATTTAATTTTGTCAATGCGCGATTCCGGTGTTTTTCTGTAAAGAAGGCGAGAAAATAAAAAATTACAGACCTTACAGGTGTCGTTCTGCTGTCGTTTTGTGCATATAAAGGCGTCGGCAGCGATACAAGCTCATCGGGACCGCCAACTGGGGCTGTCGACGTCCGTTTCTATGCCTCGCCGTTCCGAAGCGGACAAAGGGATGGGACCTTTCGCTCTATAGATTATTATGGCAGCCACATATCGTAAATATCTGCTCAGCTACATATAGGAAATTATGCATGCTTAGACATAAACCTAAAAATAGCAATTAGGAAATAAGACTTAAAGCAAACAAAATTCTAATACGATCTACTCTAAGATACGCTTCGATCGTTTGGGACCCCACAGCCAAGACCGACATAAACAAACTCGGAAGAATACAGAAAACTGCACGTTTTATAACTCGAAATTACAGATCAATGTCCTCTGTGGCAGAAATGTTTAACGTTACTGGACTTGAACCCTTAGCGATCAGGAGAAAAATGGCTCGGTTAAAGCTGTTGTTTCTGATTTATCATGGCTAAGTAAAGAACATTACCATCAGATCAGTTAAACTAAATCATTCCAAAGCATTGCAGCCGTATATGGCCAGAATTGATGTTTTAATGTATTCTTTTTTCTTGTTTTGCAAATACGATTAACGATTCGAATAAGCTTCCCCAGCATATTGTAAATTAGAGCAGTATTTCCATGTTTGAGGATGTTGTTAGAGTTGTTTACTGTGTTTAAAACGTAAGCATATCGTCGCATTTTTTTCTTTTTCATTTTTTAAAGTTAAATATGTATATATCGCGTTATTCTTTGAATGTTGTATTATAGTATTGTTTTTATATATTGTCTTCTTTGTTGTCAGTTCGAATGTGCACGACGCGTGTCTTCGATTATTGTTGATTATTGCTGTCAGTATATGGTTATTGTTAAATTCATTATAACTTTTTTTTCTTTTTTACGTGCATCTAGTTCCCTTTTCATTTTCATTTGCGCTTTGGGCGCGTCTTGTATTCACTGTTGTAAATACTGTATTGTTCAAAGATTTTATTCCTGATATGAACTGTATCCTTTCGTTAAATGTTGTTCCTCCCTGCTACCGCCCACGGGCCAGCAGTATGTATATAAAAAAAAATGAAAGACGTTTACAACGCCCTTTAACCCCGAATAACTCCTTTGCCAAAATTCCAAAAGCCCGCGCGCGCCGCGCGACGAATAACGGGAGTCCTCGGTACGCCCCTCCTCCCGCTACCACGTGACCACATGGCATACGCGAGCAGGCGCAGGTTACCACGGCAACAACAGCCGAGTCGGGCTAGCGACGAGCCAACAGCTGCCCCTTTCTCGTCCCTCTCCTTTGTACCGGCTCTGTCGTCTGCTGCACCAACGCTTTGCCAGAACCTGGTCGAAACCTGCCACGG